AGTATTTTGGAGGATATTTAACTTTTACGGCTAAATATTTAGAGGGACTTCCAAAGCGAGGACCGTAAAATTATAAAATTAAATTAAAAAAAGAAACTAAACTACGGTTATTTAAGGTTTATTATACTAATAATAAATAGAATAAAAAGCTACGGAAGTACTTAAATAAAAATCTAAAAAGAAAATATATTAGGGAATCTATATCGCTAATAGGATACCTTATATTTTTTATATTAAAAAAGGATAGTAGTTTATAACTATATATAGATTATTATTAATTAAATAACGAAACGATAAAAAATAATTACCCGCTACTATTAATATTTAAATTATAAAGTTAATTAATTAAAGCGCGATATTTTATATACTTAAATATACCTATCGGATATACCTATATATAAATTAAGGAAAGAAATAAATAAAAAATAATATTTCGTATATTTTATAACTATTTTAAGTATTTCGTAATACTATTTAGATTAATTAATACCCTTATAATATTCTAATCTTTTATTAATTATATAATCCGGAAGTACTTTAATAAAATAATAATATATTATTTTAATAATATTTTTATTTACTTATATACTTTAAAGGAATATAAACGATACGTACGAAAAATACTTAATACGCTATACGGAGCCGGACTTTTAATTAATAAAGAAAAAAGCGAGTTTTACGTATAAAAAATAATATATTTAGGATATTTAATATCGTTAAATAAGGTTTATATAAAACCTAAGAAAATTATAGTAATTAAAGACTAGCCTACGCTGTAATTATAATTATATATTAAAGAATTTTTAAGGTTTATAAATTTCTATTAAATATTTATTTATAAGTATATAGGAATTACGTAATTACTTAACTATTTAATTAAGAAAAACGTAGAGTTCCGGTAAGGGTAAGAAAAGGAGTAAGCTTTTTAGGAACTAAAAGAAGCTATCTTAAAGAACTTAATACTTAAATTACTAAATCCTAATTAATTATTCGAGGTTACAACTAATATATTAAATTATACGATCGGTAAGTAATTAGGATAGCGAAACGACGATAAAAAATTATACTTAATAACCTTTTTTTCGAAAAAACTAAAGAAAGTATATTAAAACTACCTAATCTACGATAAGAAGCTATTTATTATTATCGAAGCGTTCGAAAAGTAAAAGCTATATTTTAGTAATATTAAGTACGAAATATAGGTCTATACGGATTATAAGAACCTACGATACTTTATTACCACGAAGGTCTTTAATATACGGTAAATATAATAATTAAAGTTTCTTTCGGAATTTAATTTCTAAATTAATTATAAAAAGGGATCCGAGAACGCTAAAGTAAACGTATTTAACCGGCGAACTAATTATTATAAAGATATATTTAAGGAGTTACTATTATTATTTAAAAAAACGTTAGAAAGTACTTTTAAGTATTTACTTTAGTTATAAATAAAGTATTT